AATTACATCACACCTTGGCATCCATTTACCCCCTATTTTAACAAGATGTGCACAGAAAGTAGGAGCATCACATTTGCTGCATTTTGCAGTACATGTTTTGATGGTATGGCCAGAAGTTGAACAGTGTCCACAGTTAGAGCTTTCCTTCACCCAAACCAGCAGCTTCCAAAAGCTGTATTCTGTGTTTTTTCAAGAAAAGTTGCTTTGGTGCAGAAACCCCCCTATGGTTTGATGATCTAAAGCAGTCCTTCGATACATTGTCATTGTACTTCTCCATACCTTGCTGAGTGTAATATGCTAAATTTTGATAAAGCTTTAAAAATTCAGGCACATGAGCATACAAAGAATGCATTTAAGGTGTCATCTTTTGCTTGGTAAAGGTCAAGAAATTTTTGAAACCATTTTTTTATCTTTTCTTCAAGGATAGAGATAGTATCATCAGTAGTATAATCTAGTTTGAGGTCACTTATGATATCTATGAAATTACCCCATAGGGCTTGCAGCTTATCTGCATCATGACCTGATAGAAGTGCATGGAAATTTATATGTTGAAAGAGCAAGAGTTTTTCTGGTCCAGTAAGATCTCTGTACTCCAACCTCTTGGTATCCTTATTAATTTCCATTCAAAATTAATTCCTAGCTCTTTTACAAATTTTTCGTACCCAGCCATGCGTTTATACTTATTTGGACAAAAACCATTTGAAAAGGTATATACCTTGTCAATCGCATCTTTTCTACGAAGTTCCCTGACAAGAAGTTCAATTAAATTATCAGATATTCTCAAAAACAAATGTAGCGTATCAATTATTGCATGGTCAATAGGAATAAAATTAAATAATGGATTGCTTTTACAATTATATTGTTTGGATTTTGCATACTTACCTATTTCTTGTTAGTCTCTTACCCCAAGAGATTTGTCAGTTAAAGACCACTTTTTACTGATGTCAAACCTTTCATGTTTTGGGCACTTAAACCAAATACAGGCAAAATTTTGATTTGCAGCTCCTAGACCACAGACACAGGCTAAGAACTTCCAATCTCCTCCTAAAAAATACTCAATGCTATACTTGTGATTATTTACAGTTATTTCTGGTTAGGTGGAAAATGAGGAGTGTGGAAAGTGCGGAGTGTGGAAAATGCGGAGTGCGGAAAATGAGGAGTGTCTTTTAGTATTGAGTTTATTAATCGACCGGTTTCGACTTCATCAGTATAAAACTACAAAATATATCACAGGAACTTCTTTTATATTAGACCTTGTCAGAACATGTCACATTCCTAGTTTGGGCGTGAAAAACAAAACACCCACAAGAATAACCACAGGATATGATTAAAATCCTGTGCTAGAAGGTAGGCCTTTCCCGATTGCACTCGTAAAATCTTAAAAAAAGTGCTGGCAAAAATGGCTAAAAAGTGCTCAAAATAGTACTCAATAAGTGCTAAAACTTGTGAACAGTTACCTCTAAGCTTTTCGTAAATATGTAAATTTTTTCCCTCTTCTGCAGGCATTCTTTGATGGACTACTGTTCTGATTTATTTCTCTCAATATCAGCTAGGCCCTTCTCATGTTTCTTTGAGTTCATGTGTCTTTCGATAGAACTTTTCTTATAACTGAGAACTTCGCTGCAGGCGTTACATCTAAGCTTTTTTTTTACCACGGCAAAGTGTTGGTACTCTTTGAGACGATCCCGTGTACTCACATTGGTGGTTTTGACGCTTCCTCTTTGCTTGTTCTTACGTACATGTACATATATACATTAGTTGACCACTCCCCATGGGAGTGGTCAACTAACGTACGGTGAACTAACAGTATTATTGCAGACAATAATACTGTTATTGCCTACAGGCAAAATATCAACCTCGCGCTGATGTTGTTTTCTTTGGCTAGTTAGCCGTGAATATTATAAATTGACAGAAAGCGTGTGGAAAATATTTTTGGTCACGTTTGAAAAGATGTTACCGTTGACACCTAAATGGTGCAAATCTTGCGAAATACGTTACTTGTAAGCCATGAGTAGAGTATTACCCAAGTAAGACAATTTTTATGCATGTATATATTTTTGTCTTTTTATTTCATATATATTCTACACTCCGCATTTTTCACACTCGAAAAAAGTGAAAAAATAATATGCTTAGCTACAACATACTGAGAGTAATGTTTCACTCGTTTGATTCTTTTGTTTACCTTTTACCTTTTTTTTTTAACGTTAAAACCGTGAAGCCCCAAAAGCACCTTATAGGACAGGATTTTAATCATATCCTGTGGTTATTCTTGTGGGTGTTTTGTTGTTCACACCCAAACTAGGACCGTGACATGTTCTGACAAGGTCTAATATAAAATAAGTTCCTATGATTTATTTTGTAGTTTTATCCTGATGAAGTCGAAACCGGTTGATTAATAAACTCAATACTACAAGACACTCAACCTTTTCCACACTCCGCATTTTCAACACTCCGCATTTTCCACACTCCTCGTTTTCCACACTTCACATTTTCCACACTCCGCGTTTTCCACACTCCACGTTTTCCAAACTCCATATTTTCCACACTCCTCACTTTCCACCTAACTGTTATTTCTTTTAAATTAGACATTTCGTTATTTACTAGTAGATCAGTGAGGCTTTCTTTAAGATTGTCATAATTCTCTGTTGTCTTAATTATTGTTATAACATAACCAAAGTAAAGCGCGCGCTCTAATTGGTCAATTTAGCGTCCCCCATTTGCCCATGGGTGTACGCTGCTGACGTGAGCAAATGTAAAGACTATTTTTCCGCGCGCGCTTGTCTTTTCTGGTCACGTAGGATTTGTTAAATAAAAGGGAACTCTTTAGCTACAATGTATCAATGTTATGTTATAAAACAAATGGTAAACACCACAGCGTACACTATTGAGTTATGGATGCACTTGGGAGGTTTGCTAAGCACTCAAGAAGCTAGAGTCGCTCTCGGCTATCGCCTCAAGCGACTCTTACGCTTCTTTCGTGCTTAGCAACCTCCCGCGTGCATCCATAACTCAATAGTGTACGCTGTGGTGTTTACCATTTGTTCACTGGAACATAGTTCCCTTTTCATTCATTGCTCCATCCTTTTCATTCAAAATTGTGTATGTTACATTTTCAAGTTTAAGCCTCTTCGCAATGTTGGTACCATCACCACTGATCTTTACTTTAATAGTTGTAGCCTCATCCAATACTCCATTTTTCTACAACCTTTTTATCTGTTCTTCAAGACTATCCCTGAAAGAAATCTGTATTTCCTCTGCCTCTCCTGGTATTTCTTTTAGATTCCAATTGGAATTTAACTTATCTAGATGTTTACATATTTTATATTTTGTGGGCATGTCTTTACATTTTAAGGCCAACTCATGCCACGCTTCATTAGAGATGTTAAATTTGTCCTTTAAGTAGACCCACATATTGATATCATCAATATCATTGTCAGTCAGTTCTTTTAAATCAGTTTCTATTAGTTGAAATTCTTCCTCTTCTACCAATAATATAGTTTCATATTGCTCGGTGTCATTATTGAATATCTCCACCTTGGTGGCAACGAAATCATACAGGCCTAAAAATGATAGTGCTGAGTGGCAGTCTTCTTTGAATGTTCGCCTTATCCTTGCCCGGTGCTGTTTGGTGTAATCAGTGAATTTTTTAATACTTGTTTGGACCTCTTTGTTCCTTTTTTTGCAGTCTTGCTGCTTTCTTCGCTAATCTCTTAACTTTTTCTTTGTACTGTTCTTTTCTGTTTTCTGATTCCCCAATGACATTTTCAAGTTTCTGCTCAAGTTTTAATCTCTTTGCCTGCTCTATGGCTAAATCCAGTTCAGCTTTCCTTTTCTGCCCACGGAGCTATTGATTTTCCTCAATCAATGAGTTTTTTTCAAGCTCATGAAAGAAAATTTTAAAGGAGTAGTTTTTCGCCTTCCATGAGTCAATCAGCTTCTTTAAACTCTTCCCCCCACCTTTTGAAGCTTTCTTGAACGCTGAGTGGAGGAGAGAAATCTTTTTCCTGAAGACGTTGAGAATTCTGGAATTTATCACGACACCACTGATCTCAGATTTTCTCAAAATTTTTTTCACGATTCCTGCAATCAGAGAATCGGCACTTTCGTCGTTCGATCAAAAATATAAAAATTAAAAAAAAAGAAGAAAAGAAACGGGTTGAAATACCGGACTTCAATTAACGCAATTTTACTTACTTGTTTATTTCGTAATTAAACCAAGGCCATTTTTCTCCTTTCGGACCACTCGTTGTTTTGTGCATCTACGGCCACCGCGAGAAGAGCCAGCGAGAACAAAATCACCAGTGCGTAAACTTCGAGTCCTATTTCCCCAACTCAAACAATATCCAAACCTCATGTACTCTATCATGTATTATACATCAAATTGCGCCAACATTTATTCTTCTTTTCGTATTTCGCGGTAATGACCAGTTCTGTGCATGCGCTTTAGATTTATAGCCCCAGACTCTACGGCCAGTGCTTGTGTCTGGCATAAACCCCTCTTCGAAATGTCTGAATTGCTAACCAAAAGTCTAAAAAACCCGAACGAAATATTTTCATGATTACCTTCAAATACAGCGCTATAGAAAGCTTATGTATGATAGTTTTATAAACAGAAGGTAAGAAAGATAGCGATTCAACTGGAATACACGAAAAAGAAGAAAATGTTCGAAAATTAGCGTGTATTTGACTGACCCCGGACTGCGTGACATGTCACGAAAATCTGTAGAGGCAGATGTTAAACGTAAGTTTGATATGTTTTCTTAAATTGTTTAAAACTCCAGAAGTCCTAGGTATCAGAACTACAACTCGTTTTCCATACTTGTACCAATTGCGTACTTTCATGCTTCATTGAAAGGAGGGGTTCGCATCGACGACATTATTATCACGTGACTTTCCAGAAAGTCGATTTCTTATGGCTGGAAACTCGAACCTCGTCGTCGGCGAGCTGTTTCAGGCGATAATTTTTCTCTTTTTCTTGTGAGGAAGAAGATCTACCGAAGATGGTTAAAGCTTCGACGTTCGCCGAAAATTTAGAGGAGGAGTTGGAATGCGCTGTGTGCTTGGAGCAATTCAAAGATCCGAAAGTTCTTCCTTGTCTTCATTCCTTCTGTAAAATCTGTCTGGAAGGACTGGTCGGAAGAAAAGGGAAAGGAAACGCTGGGAAGTTAAACTGTACTACTTGTCGGATTACCGTAGAGGTTAGTTTGAGAAAATGAATTATTCTCGAATGTCGTGATGTGAGACTATCAGTTGGTGCGACAACGTTGATTAACTTATAGTTTTGTCCTTTATGACGCGAGAGAGCAAAATAGGGAGTCTGAGTCCAGTAAGCTTCTTTGAACACAAACTTTAATTACTTGAGAGGCGGGTTACCTTTAGAGCTATCGATATAACAACAACATGGCGGCTAAGTTATCTCAATGTTCACTCGTGTAACTCGAGAACTCGATTGGAATGTACGAAGCGATTACATAACCAGTCCAGAAAGTTATATAACATTCGAGGGTTACATAACCTTTAAGTGTTACATAAGAAAGATCAGCTGATCGACATTCAAGAACGGTCTTGTCGAAGAAAAGCAAATGTTGATTTCCTGAAGGTTTTACATATCATAACA